TCTCTCTCTCTCGCGCGCTCTCTCTCTCTCGCGCGCTCTCTCTCTCTGTCCACATTCAAGCTATCTGCAGCAGCATACTGAACTCCTCAACTTTTCAGGATTTGTAATCAGACAAGAATTAACAGGATTTTAAAATCACAGAGCAGAGATCACAAATAATTCTAATTTTATAATGGAGAGAATACAGTAAAGTCCTGTATTTGTATCGCTATTGCGAATTTGCTTGTCTTTGTTAAATAACCCGTACACCATTTAATCCATAATGGGTCCAGTTGCTTGCTTCCCCCTAGCTTTCAGGGAAAAAAAAAAGTAAAAGAAGAAAATTCAGAGAAAATCTGAGAGAGGGGAAGTTTTGTTAAGCAAAGGTATTAAGGAATATGGGGCAAAGGCAGGTATATGGAGTTAGGCCACAGATTAGCCATGTTCTCATTGAATGGTGGAACAGACTGAACATGCTGAAAAGAATAGGAGTGGGCCAATGTTACTAAAATGTCTACAGAAATCAATATGTCGAAATGAATGTAAAGTACTAAGATATGGAAGGTGACCATGACATGTTGTCCTGTATTTCCCAATTAGAAAGTGTTACCCTGCGAATGACAGGACTTCATAGAGAAACATGTGGCACAGTTGATCCAAGCCAACGCTTGTGATGTTTGAATCCCTTCGTCGGTTTTTCCTGCCCCTTTTATTTAAAGTGATACTGCTGCTCAGAGTGTTTACATTGCTCAGATAAAATCTTAACTGTGTCCCACATTTCCTTTTATCATTGGAATGATAAACAAGTCTGGTGCATTCTGAGTTTCAAAATTTCCAATTCAATCAGCAGAAGGGATAAAAGAACGTACAGATTATGTAATTGAAATTGTAGCTGTAATGTCTCAATCAGAGTTAAAAGTAAGAAAAACAGTTTGGAATGATTAAGGAAGTCTTATTGTACACCTATAAATTTAGAACAAATGTCTATAATGTCATTTCCCTGTTTAAAGGTGAAAATAAATGCTACCATTTAAATACCTGGTGCTCCTGTTTATGATCCTGGCCCAGATTTTCTGATTGCCAGATAGTTGTTTTTGAAGTGTAGATGGCAGGTGTGCATGAGGACCTGCAGAATCACCATTAAAGCAGACCTGAAAGGAAATTGAAATTCTGTCAAAGAATTCCCCTCTGCCTAGAACTCTCTGAAAGCCTCCATTTTAAATCAGCGAATTTGGTGAGTTCTACTGCAGTTAAGTGGAAGGTTACTCTGGAAAAGTTAGTGTAATAAATATTTACTCTAACTCCTGATTAACTATTCAACTTAATCCCCAACATACCTCTCAGACCCCACAGATCAATTCCCGCAAACCGTCTATACCCTGCATACCTTGCCTGAACAGCCCACCATCAGCATATTCAACCCTGTTCCCCAGCCCTCCCTCATTCTATCACATGCACGTGTGTTTTCTCACACGCATGTGCACGCATTACAGATGGACACGCACACAGACACACATACACAAACACCAACCATTACAAATACAAATGACAGATGAAATGTTTTGCTTTTCACAGATTTTTACCAAGGTCTCAGTTGATTTGGACTTGTCAATATTTGGTGAGACAACCAACATAGTAAGAGAGCTTGAAAGCAGGAATAAAAGCTTGCAGTTTTCTGCATGCCCTGATGGAAGATTCCGTGTTGCGGGTTCCTTCTCAGCAATGAAAGACTTGAGGAAAGATGTGCAGAGAAGAATAAATGACTTTCAAATATTTCATCTCCCGAGTTCAGTGTCGAAATCTGGAGTAAATACCTCTGAAAGAAAGCTCACAAGGTGTGCGTCTGAGGGTGAAACCAAGCAGCAAAAGCCTGCAGCTGAACTGAGTGACAGAGTCAACGATGTCTTGTGTCCTAATGTACTTGAGAATGAAACAACAGTTATTCTTGATGCAGATATTTTTGCGTACATTAATGCGTTTTACAAAGATCAGTGCAAGATCATGCTTTGTAAACATAATGCAAAAGTGGAGGTGGTAAATTTTGATGGCATAACTATTCTCCAGCTGGTAAAAGCTAGTGACCAGTGTGAACAATCGCAACTGATGATGGCTAAATTTGCAATGGAGAGTTTAGTGAGCCAAATGCAGCAGACGTTGCTCAGTGAGAAAATTAGATTAGATGGAGGCAGTGGGCCAGAAAAAATGCTGGAGGCATGCAGGCAAACTATGCAAAGCTTCCCTGAGGTTTTAGTTTGCTTTACTGATGAGTACGTATCCCTCATAGGCAATTCTCACCATTGCAGTCAGTTCAAGAAAGAAGTGAATGAGAAAGTGAAGGCCATGCAGTCAAAGTCCAATGTGGTGTTCAGTGGGCATTCGAGTATTCCAAGTGCATCTGGACACCCACATCATTTTGGGGCGGGCTTAGATTCAAGTGCTGCGCGTGGAAAGTATGTATCTAATACCGGTGCGAGCAGCCTAAAACAGAACTGTGATTCTGGTCAATATACAAGTAGTCATGCTGATCGTTCACAAACTGGTTATAGAAACTTTGATACTAATGGGAAGTTGGGAAGTTTTCATTGTGGTGGAGGTGCATTACACAGTGGACCATCTTCTTTGCCAGCATCATTCAGTATGGCCTCAAGCACCAAACAGCATAGCAAGTTGGAAAATGCTTCAAAGATCTCCAAGCAATAGGCTGAATCGTTCTTGTGATTGAATAACGTTTATTTGTTCCTTCTGTGTGGCATAGTCTTTATTCAGTAACTGCAAGAAAACGGTTTAGTAATTCATTTATAACTGGTACTGAATGGCCTGTGTGTACCCTGGTGCTACCTCCATGGGTCCTGCAAAGTATGGCCCTAACTGGATCAGGGGTGCTGATGATATAAAGTGTAACAAAAAGCTGTGCTGCTCGTGGAAGGCCGATTAATCATCTGCATAGAGTTGTACAGCATCCGTATGAATGAACTGTTAACCAGGTTTTAATGCAGTTACCATCTCTGATATTGCCAATACATACTGTGTGTAAAATAGGTTTCACTATAGAGGTCAGAAAGGATGCATTGTGATTCAATGAACTGGGGACTGATTCGGTTATATGATCTTAAATTGAAATTCTCGGAGTGTGAATTGTTTTTGCAATCTGCACTTTAGAAATGCGTTGTACATGCTGCTGATTATTTATGATCTCCGAAAGCTTGCTAATAATCTTGCCGCTTTTTGAATGTTTGACTTTTCTTTTGTTTGGCATCCGATGGTAACACTAACACACATTTTGTACATGTTAAAACCCATAAACAGCAGCTAAACAGTTCTTCTGATTAAGTAATTATTTTGAGGTTTAAATTTACACATTAAAACCAGTGACAATACATTGTTGGGTCTCTTGTATGGGATATAGTAGTGTGCTTGCTTTGTGCTAAGTACTGTATTTTCAGAGAGGAAAAGATTTTTATTTCTATAAATGCATTAAATTATTTCATGTAATATTCTCTGCACATAATATAACCATATTTTTAAAAAACCTGAAAATCAAAAATCAATGTACAATAAATATTCCATGCAGTAAGATGTCTCAAAAGTGCTTCACATATGTGTTTTCAAATAAAATTTGATGCAAAACCACATTGGGCAGATGACCAAAAGCTTGGCTAGAAAGCTAAGTTTCAAGGACCATCTTAAAAGAGGAAATCACAATAGAGGGATGGCGTGTTTGAAAGATGGAATTACTCAGGATCATGGCAGCTGAAGTAATAGAACATAAGGAATAAAAACAGAAGTTACTGGAAGAGCTCAGCAGGTCTGACAGCATCTGCGAAGAAAAAAAATCAGAGTTAATGTTTCAGGTCTGGTGATCCTTCCTCAGAATGAGTAGAACATTAGGGATGTTCTATTGGAGGAGTAGAGAGATCTTGGAGTGTTGCAGATTGGACGAGATTACAGAGATCAGGAAGGTGAAGCTACTGTGAGGACTTGAAAGCAAGGGTGAGATTTTCAAAGCTGGGGTGTTGGTTGCTGGTTGAACAGGTAGGTCGGTGAAACATGGGTGATGAGTGATGGGGGTGGGGGAGGCAGTTGGTCATCCAAGTTTTGAATAACCTGAAGTTTTAAGTGTGTAGAGTTTTGGATGCTAAAGCTGCAAACTAGTTCAGTCTTGGACAGTTTGTAGGAGAAATGGAGTCAATGGCTGGAAAGCAGCATGTGAAATGGGAATGGAGAACAATGGGGTTGGTCTTCTCAATATGTAAGTGGAGTAAATTTCTGTTTATTCACTTTTTGGTGGGTGAGGCAATCTTGATGACTTTGAGATAGTAGCCGGGTTAAGTAACTATGGTGAGGTAAAACTCAATCCTGCTGCATCATTCAGTATAACTGTCATTGATCCTTTATCTCAATGCGGTATTCCTACTTTCTCCTATACACCTTGATGCCTTTAGTATCTTAAAAAATATCTCTTTCTTGAATATATTCAGTCGTTTGGCCTCCTCAGCCTCCTGTGGTAGAGAATTCCACAGATTCACTATACCTTGAGTGAGGAAATCTTTCCTCATCTTTATCTTGAATGAACTACTCCATATCCTCAGATTATGACACCTGGTTCTATACTGTGCAGCCAGGTAAAACATTCTCCCTGCATCTAGTTTGTCCACCCCAATTAGAATTTTATACATTCAACCAGATCCCCTTCATCCTACAAAACTCTAATCAATACAGGCCTAGTTGAATCAATCTCTCTTCATCGGACAGTACTGCTATCGTCAGTATTGGTCTGGTGAATGTCTATATGGTGTATTTTTTGTTTTTAGGTAGGGAGACCAAAGCTGCGTATAATACTTCAAGTCTGGTCTAACCGAGGTTGGGTACCACTATACTAAGACATCCCACTTCTGCACTCATCCTTTTGCAATGAAGGCCAATATACCATTTCACTTTCCTTATTGCTTGCTGCACCTGCTTGTTTCCTTATGTTGAGTACAAGGACACCCAGATTCCACTGTGCATCCACATTTCCCAATTTATCTATATTTAATTAATGCTCTGTCTTTCAGTTCTGCATACCACAGTGTATAACTTCATGTTAACCATGTTGTACTGCATCGGCCGTGCATTTGTCCACTTGCTCAACTTGTCAGAATCATTTTGAAGCCTCATTACTTCGTACTCACAACTCTCAGTCCTACCCAGTTTTGTGTTTTCAGCAAACTTGGAAATGTTGCATTTCAGTCCCTCATGCAAGTCATTTTTATATATGTCATGAATAGCTGGGGCCTAAGCACGGAACCTTGCAGTATCTCACCTGTCATGTCTGCCATTCAGAAACTCATTATATACTTTTCATGTATCTGAATTTATAATTTTCTGTAAATACAGAATACACTCATGGCATTATATTAAAAGTTGGTAATTAGGATGAAAAATACTGAAAAAAATTATAGTAAGATCCTCGCCTCTCACCAATGTTGTTTATTTGTCGGAAATCTTGTGTATTTTTGTTTGCAACTTGACAATTCAAATACCATCAATTGAAAATGTTCCTATAATTTCAGCAGTGCTGCTGTTACCAATATCGATGGGTGTTCCTAGAATCACTGCAATGACAAATACATTCATTCAAACTCCATACAAACTGGAATAATTGTCAGACTGTCCTTTTTGTTGTTGTGCCTCTAACTACGAGTTACATGTTGAAGCAATGAGCCTAGGAAACCATAAGTAAGAGTATATGGGAAAACCTGAGAGGCAAATGGGGCAGATATGTGGTAAATAAAGTTAAACATAGACTGAATACGAAGGGCTACATTGAGCAATCTTGTAAGCTGGAGACTAGATGCCATTATTAACATTGTTCAGGTAGGGGTCTGAGCTAAGGGAAATAATTAAAATGGTATACTTCTTAATGCAACAGACAAACAGAGGGTTTCAGAGATGTGATACACAGATACTTAAAAGTTGACTAATAGGTTTATAAAACCTCAACTACAAATCAGATTTTGGGCTTCATGTGTAGAGGCAGGAATGTAGATGCTAAGAAATACATGATAAACCTGTTTCACCTCTGCAACATTTACCACCTTAGGCAATGCCCTTCTTTGTTTGTAGCCCAGACAAAACTTGCTCATTTATTAGCTTGCACATGACCTTCTGTAACTGTGTTGCGGGTTGTGTTGGAATTGTTGGTCCATATGCTAAGAATTACTTATCTATTGCTCTAGGTAGAATTACTCTATCTTATGCAAAAGCCCAATAAATTTGTATTTGAACTATATCCAGGGTGTGTCACCTTGTTTGTTTCTTTTTTCAGGAGTAACGTATTAGAATAAGTGCACCCAGGTAGCTGACGGGAATGTGTTTGGATGGATAATTTAGAGAACTCCATCAGTGCTGGATTAAACTTTACATAAATTATAACTTTTTAGACAAGACGGCTACTTTGAAATAAATGCACATAATTACTGGAATCTGACTATTAACAGGATGTATGTGACTCAATTTGCCGAGTTTTGAAAATGTTGACAGAAATAGATTGCTGATTTTTCTGAAAGCTTACTCGTTCTCTGCTCCGCTGGTTAAAAGAACCCACAACATTGCTGATTGGATATGCCGAAAGATGGTAATAGACCAAATGATTTAATTACCTTTCTAAGCTTACTGGACAACTGAGTGAGATAAGCCGGCAAGACTGGGTACTTGTGGTGCAGTGGTAGTGCTCCTACCTCTGAGCCAGCAGGCCTAGGTTCAAGTCCCACCTTCTCCAGAAATGTGCCATAACATACCTGAACAGGTTGATTAAAAATATCTACACATACGCCTGACTCTAGACTTAAATAGAACGCAACTCACTAAATCTGTATTATTTAGCATCCAGCACAAATAATGATTTATTTGTCAAAATCAGACTTTATTACCATGTCGTGATTATAAAATGTTACATTAATGGAAATTTCTAATTAAAAGTTGGGCCGGAATTTAATGGTCTGAAATATTTGAGTTTTGGAAGCATTTCATAGTCATTTCATATTTAGTGCTGCACAGTTACTGAACTATAAATTAGTTGTATTTGATTACATGTGCACAAATGCATAAAAAGCATTTTGGTGGATCTGATAAATCTGTCAGCGCACAATATCACAGTTAGCTTTGTAAGATAAAAAACTATTGATTTTCTAATGTATACTATCACATTCAGAAGTGAGGCCTTACCTAGGAGTTATTTGGAAATTTAAGGATGAGGGGGACTGAATTAATTTGGTGGAACAGTTATAATAATTCATAAAGAACCATCACCAATCAGAGTTAACTCACTGGCAAAGAGCAGTCCTTGTTCTCCAGAACAGTTCTGTACTCCAGTAAGCTAAAGTGTAAATTACAGTGGACCTGAGATGAGCCAGATGAAGGAATTTTACTGTGACATACTCAGGAGGCAGAGCACTTACCAGGATATCAGGGATGCTAGGGTTGGACTAATGCAGACGTACTTCATCCGAATGAACTTCAATTTGCAGGGCATTTAGAGAAGAGAATTTCCTTCATCTGAGTGAAAGCAAGATGAATAGTAAGACCAAAAGTCAGTAACCTTCCAATGAACACTGCAAAATTCCACTGTCTTCACTGGACACAGTCTTGCTTCGCCAGTGCTTTGTCTTCCTTCTCTTTCTTTGTGGCATGAGGTATACATACATATGAACTAGGAGTAGACCATTCAGCCCCTTGAGTCTGCTCTATCATTCAATAAATTCATGGCTGATCTACTAATAATCTCAAATCCACATTTGTGCCTATCCTGATAACCTTTTGCCCTTTACTTAATAAGAATTTATGTATGTCTGCCTTAAAAGTGTTCAAGGATTCTGCTTCTGTCACCTTTTCCAAAGACTCTTGACCCTCTGAAAGAAAACAAAAGTGCTTAATCTCTTTTTTAGATGGGTGACCCCTGATTTTTGTCTGCCTTAGTGCAAAAACACATCATCAATGCTTGATCTGATACCACTTTGAATACGTGCAACACACAAACACCCAAGTTACCCATAAAGAAATGCAGAAGAAATGTGCAATGTGAGGTATTCTCAGCTTTGCTCTGCAGGCCAGAGAGATCATCCATAAATAATGTGAACTATCAGATAATAGAATGTGATAGTAAAGTAGCAATACTTACCATTATAAACTCAGAAAATTTTCTAAATACTGAGCAAGTCAGACTGCACGTCTCAAGAGAGATAGACCTAACAAGTTGGCTAGAGATGCAGAGCGATGCCAACAGCGTTGGTTCAATTCTAACACTGGCTGAGGTTACCATGAAGGTACCAACTTCTCAATCTTACCTTTCACCTGAGGCATGATGACCCTCAGCATGAAACACCATCAGTCATCTCTCTCTCTCTGATGAGACAGCAGCCATATGATTACCTGGACTAGTCCAATTTTACCTCAATTCAACTAAATTTTGTTCCAATGTTTACCATTTTAAAAAAAATTCTATCTCATGGTATCTATATTGAAGTCGTTTAGTGGCTTCATTTAAACACTAGAGAAATGATTAGGAGACAAATGTGTAAGTGCCTAGTTATTACCATCATGTGGTGTAATGATAGGACAATGAAACATCGGGAATTGTTATCTGAAATTTTAAAACGCCAAACTCTGATTTAAAGGTCACTTGATTTTTTTTCCAGTGCCAACTTCCTTAATGGTTTTCAAGCAGGAGGTTCCAAAGTGATAGCAGAGTGGTTATGTTACTGAACTTAGAATCAAAAGTCTAGGATTAATCACCCTACAATGTGCCTTCATTGTGTGAATTTAACTTCTGTTAATTAAAGAAATAAAGGAAAACGTAATAAAAAGCTAGCATTAGCAATAGTGAACATTGTACCTACCAGATTGTTGTAAAAATTCATTTGTTCATTGATATTCTTTTGGGAAGGAAATCTGACATCTTTATTTGGTTTGGCCAATATGTAGACTCACAGCAATGAGGTTGTCTTTTAAATACTCTCTGAGATGACCTAGCAAGCTAAACAGTGACACTAAACTACTATGACAAAATGAGCAGCATACTAGAATACAAACCCTGTGGGCCACCTTGTATTCACAGAGACACTGGATGTGAATACCTAACGGTAGACCCTATAAAGATCTCCTTACCAATATCTGAAGACAAACACTATGAAAGCCCTCCTACAAATCAAGCCAAGCAATGTACATGTACAATTATAACTTTCAGGCAACATGATTGACTCCTCCATTGCCATCCTCTGGAATGTCCTGCTCCACTGGCAGAACACAATCATCAGAGGTATAGACACAGTGATATGCAATCTGAGTGTCCTCAGTGTTGGCTCAGGACTTCACTAAATCTGAAGGTACCAAGTAAATATTGTCAAAGAAATCTCCTGTTGATTGACTCTTCAGCTGATAGATCAAGACTCTTCCACATTGAACACCACTTGGAAGAAGGATGAAGGGGAGCAACAGCATAGAACATACCCGGGTAGGGGACTTCAATGTTCATCAATGAAAATTGTAACTTTCTGACAAAACCCACTGACTCCTGAATGGTCTAGATGTTAGACTAGACTTGGGCAGATGATGAGAGTCAACATGAAGGGAAAAAGTGCGACTTTATCTCCACAAAGCCACTTGTGATAGATGCAGCTATCCATGACAATAATGGTTGGAGTGAATACACCACAAAGTCTCATCCTTACTATGATAATATTGTGTTATTTGTCATTTTATTGTGTTACAGCGCTGTACTAACTGGGATGTTGGGTTAGCTTGGCTGGATGGCTGGTTCTGAGATGCTGAGTGATGCCAACAGTGTGGGTTCAATTCCCAGACCAGCTGAAATTATCATGAAGGACTCTCCTTCTCAACTTCTCCCTCACCTGAGGCAAGGTGACTCTCATGTTAAACCACCACCCGTCATTTCTTTCTAATAAGAGAGTATCCCTATGGTCTGGTAAGACTATGGCGACTGTGCTTTTTACTAAATGGGATGGATTCAAAATGGATCTACCAGCTCAAAACTAGATTCAATCAATTCACTCTAGGTGATCTTAAAAAATGGATGAATGCTTTGGCTATACCAAAGACTATGGGTCCTGACAAAATCCCATTTGTATACTGAAGTCTCATGCTCAAAATCTAGCTCCATTTCTAACCAAGTTGTTACAGGACAACTATAATACTTGTTTCAAAAGTAAATTGCCTGAGTGTGGTCTATCCACAAAAAATGGAACAATCACATCCAGCTATTACTACCAAACTGGCGACTCTGAATTGTAAACAAAGTAAATGAATAGATTGTTCAGTTTTAACAAGTGGAATGTGTCAATAATCTGCTCACCAATGATCAGTTTGAGCTCCATCTGGGCTACTTCCTCCAGACCTCCAGTTTTGATCTCACCATTGACAAAAGGTTGTGTTCTAGAGGTGTGATAAGAGTGATGGCTCTTGACATCAAGGCAGCATTTGATTGAGCATGGCATTATGGAGATCTGGCAAAACTGAAGCTAATGGTAATCAGAGTGAAAACTCTCCACTGGTTGAAGTCGTACCTGGCACAAAGGAACATGTTGTGATATTTGGAGGTCAATGATCTCATTTCCCAAGATCAACAGATAATAATGCAGTCCATGCCCACATGCAACAGACATGGGCAATATTCAGGCTTGAGCTGAGAAATGACAAGTGACATTTTTGCCAAACAAGTGCCAGGCAATGACTATCATGAACAAGAAAGATTAGTATCCTCTCCCCTGACACTGAATGCTATCACCAATGGTGAATCCCTCATGATCAACATTCTGGGGATCTTCATTATCCAGAAACTTAACTGGTTATGCCACATAAATAGAGTAGCTACTAAAGCAGGTCAGAGGCTGTGAAATCAGCAGAAAGTGATTTAGTTCCTCACTCCCAAAAATCTTCTTGGCGTCTACAGGAGCTAGATCAGGAGCATGATGAAATCTTTTCCATAGGCCTGGATGTGTGCAATGCCATCCAGGACAAATGATTGACACTCTATGCACCACCTTAAACATTTGCTGTCTCCTTCATTGCTGCACAGTGGATTAGAGCTAAATGTAGTATCTCTATAGTATCAGAGTCCCAGTGCGGCCTTGCTAATGAATTGGGGAAACCTGGTCCCTTCGACCAGCAAAGAAACAAGGCAAAGTTACCAACAACCAACTCATGGTATGCTCAGGAACACTTCAGCAGCTATTGTAAAAACCAGACTGAAATCTTGAACAGCATTACATCTGCAGATTTGGGTTACAAAGTGAGCAGAGCCATATTCTCCTCAAATAGGTGGTTGCATACGTTACAATCGGCATTGGTGGGTCACCTACTGCATCTTACAGTCATCAAACTTCACTCTTCAGACACTGTGAACAATATTTCACTAATGTCCATTAGAGAAGAAATCTGCCATCCTTACCTGGTCTGGCCTACATGTGACTCCAGACCCACAGCAATGTGGTTGACCTTGAACTGCCCTCTGGGCAATTAGGGATGGGCAATAAATACTGCCTAGCCAGCGACGTCCTCATCCGGTTAATGAATAAAAAAAAAATTCAGGGCTTTTGCTTGTGTAGGGGAAATGTATGTGTGCTTCCTGCACAATTAAACCTGGCAAAATGTGCTAACTAGTCCTTAGCAAGGAAATCAAACTCTCTTCCATCTGATAGATATTTACTCTTCAGCGATGTTTACTCTGGAGCAGGTGGGAATTGAAATTGAGCCTCTTGCCTTAGAAATATCGACAGGAGTAGCGCACCACAACAGCCCCATTCTTGTTTCAGAGATAGTAGGAACTGCAGATGCTGGAGAATCTGAGATAACAAGGTATAGAGCTGGATGAATACAGCAGGCCAAGCAGCATCAGAGGAGCAGGGAGGCTGATGTTTCGGGC